AACAACAAACAAACAAAAACAACAACAACAAAAACAGCAAACAAAAAACCAAACAACCCCAAACAAAAACAAACAAAACTGACACACACCCGAACACCAAAACAAACCAAATAAATCCAAGACGCGAGAAGAAAAGTCATGCATTGTAAAATGTAACAAACCTCTGCAGCTTGGACTTCTTGAACTGACAGGTGTAGTAGTCCAGTGGCACATTGGGGACGTCCTGGTGCATCAGGTTAGGGATGTGTAACACCTCCAGGAGCTTGGCTGACCAGTTGCTCGTGGGGTTAGGGTGGGCCTGGGGAAGCGGATGGGGGTGGGGGGTGGGGTGTAAGCCACAAGGGTTTAAGTTGGCTGTACCTTGACAGGCTCTGCTTATTTCTCGCAGGTTTTTGGAGCCTCAAGGGTCTAAGTTGTCTTTACCTCGACAGGAATCCAGTAATTTCTCGCAGGGTTTTGGAGCCTCAAGAGTTTAAGTTGGCTTTACGTCGACAGGGTTCCTCTAATGTCCCGAAGGTTTTTGGAGCCCCAAAGGGTTTAAGTTGTCTTTCCCTCGACAGGACTACGCTAATATCTCGCAGGTTCCTATAGCCACACGTGTTTTAGTCGTCTTTAGCTTGACAGGGCTACGCTAATTTCTCACTTGTTTTTGGAGCCACAAGGGTTTAAGTCGTCTTTACATTTTTGGAGCAACATGGGTTTAGTCGGCTGTACCTCGACAAGACTCCACTAATATCTCGCAGGTCCTTATAACCACAAGAGTTTAAGTTGTTTTTATCTTTAGGACTCCGCTAACGTCTCGCAAGTTTTTGGAGCCACAAGAGTTTAATTCGTCTTTACCTCGACAGGACTCCGGTAATTTCTCGCGCAGGTTCTTGGATATCCCTCGCTCGGAAAATTAGACTTTTATAGAGTGAGCGCGCACGTACGTACATGGTGAGGCTTATTGAAATTGAATATCATCATGGGAAGCCATTCAACTTTCAATGTCAGGTACGTTTAAATTGAAAGACGGGCCGGCTCGATGATAAATATTGTTCCCATCCACCCACACCCTCCCCGAAAATACCAAAACCGAGCAGCAAAACGAAACGAAAAACTAACCCTCCGAAAAACAAATAAAAACAACCCCCCAAAAACAAACAAACAAAAACAAAGCAAAACAAATACCCCCCCCACCCCTCGCCCAAAAGAGAAAAAGTAATAGTAATAGTATAAAAACAAACAAAAAGTTACACAAATAAAACCCAGCTCAACTGAATTCGTTCCAAGGTCTCATGCAAACTTTCAAGCCGCTTTAACAGTTAATTACAAAATCGATTCTAACGGCAACTTTGAAAAAAGCGCGTGTGCTTGTATCAGTCGCTACTCTAGGGCGTTTGAATTCAATTATTTCGCTCCTAAACCACACGCCAGTTCAGGTTACTGATAATACGTAAAATAATTTTGAAAAAGTGTACATAAAATAATTCGGAAAAAGCGTACATAGAACAAACACAATTTTGGATCAAGCCCCTAGATCGCTTTGCTGTTTCTAATTGGCAGCTTTATTTTTTGCGGTTTCTGACTGGCTGCCCTGTTAAATTTGCTTTGAAAAAAAATTGGCCGACTGGTTCGCTTGGGGGTATCGAGATGGGCATGTCACGTCTCCACCACTCTATGGATAACAGAGGAAGGAAAGAGTATGTCAAGCCATACAGACTTTGAGTCTTCGAGACTTCGAGACTTCGAGACTTACAGACTCTGAATCTTGGAGACTTAGATACTTATAGACTTAGAGAATTAGAGAAATAAAGATTGAGAGTCTTTGAGGCTTAGAGACTTGGAATCTTTGAGACTTAGAGACTTGGAGTCTTTAAGACTTAGAGGAGCTTCTAGAGACTCTCACGTCTTGAGACGTTTGAGGTAATCAGAGATGACCAAGAAGTTCTTTCTACAATTTAAGCGTGGACCTAGCCCCATCCTTTTTTTCCACAAACGTCTGTGTTGATATCTTGGGATTTTTCAGAGAAAGCTATTATTCGAATAAGGACACCAAGGGGCATCGCACTATACGGGGTTTTTTTTGGGGGGGTGGGCGGGGGGGGGGGGGCCTATTTTGTTTTTTCCCTCCCTGTTTTTAACTTTAAAAAATAAAACAACAACAATACCCCTCCCCCTCCCCCACCCAAAAAAAACAACCAGCAACAAGAAAACAACACAGCCAACAAACAAACAAACACCCCCCCCCAAAAACAAACCAAGACAAAAACCCCACAAAACAAACCCAACAACCCCAAAAGCCGACTGGCAAAGTCATGGCTCTCATTTAGGGGTCCATTTTCTCAACTTTTCTCTAAATTTCAAAACGACTTATAGTTTTATAGGCGCTTGTGGCAAAAAACCAAACAAACATTGGCTATGTGACGTAGATATATTATGCATGGAAATGACGAGTCAGCCTGTCTGTCGAAACCGCCACTGTGTAAGTTGAGACGAGACACATCAAAATAAAATAGTCCAATTACATAATACATGTTTTCATTTTGTTTCTGAATGTATAACATTACTAAAAGTAAGGATTGGCCTATGTGTGGACAGACCATAACTTGTATGTTATAAAAGAACCTACCTTAAATTAAAATATTCTTACCTAATTTACTAAAATTAGATTACTTAATTTACTAAAATTAGATTCTGGACTCACAAGCTATATATATATATAAAGACGATGCAGTCCTTCAGAAATGAATCAACTTTCCCACCAAGCTCAGAATGTGAGCTTGAACGAAATTAAATAAGCCCCCGTTACAAAAAGGGAGATGTCTTTCCCAATGCCCTACCCCATCCCCCTTTCTTTTATTTTAATATTTGTTTCTTATTTTCATTCTTCAATAAGACTATTAACTGTAGTCATATAGAAACATACGTCAAAAGAATTCAACAACGGAACATACATAAAACATGACTTTTTGATAAATTTGACCCCCCAACCGTTGTCATGTGATTGCTGTTGTTTTTTTTTTTCTGCTTACATTATGGACTCGTAACATAGTTCAAACTGATCAAATGACAAGTTCAAATAAACATGAAGTATTATGATGAAGTATGATCGTAATAACTAGTGCAAGCATGCGGTTAGTGAAACGCACATGCATAATATTATGTTGTGTGCATATAATATGGTACGTACTAACGTTTATTTCGCAGTACACAAGCGAAAAATTAAGGTTACACCAAAAAGGTTATAAATAGAACTACTTACAACCTCTTTGGGTTACATGAAAAGCTAAACACAACAAATGAAGAAGGTGCTCACTGTTTGATGACGTCAAACAGTTTTTAAAAAAATATATAATATGAACGAAACAAGGTGAAAAGAGCAAATGATCGATCGGTCGCATGCATAATATGTGCGTGTGTGGGATAAGCGACTGGGTTTGGGGGTGGGAGAGGAGGAAGGAGAAGGGGATGTCCCTTTTGAGATGAAATGTAAAAAAAAAGTTGCAATTGAAACAGCTTTAGAAGCCACAAGTTCATGTCTCACAACATTGCCCCCATACACATAACAGGAGCACAACCAGTTAATTGTCTCGTGTTAGCGTGAGTTCTGAGTCACAAAGTTTCCCCCATTTGTAATAACATGCAATATCAAATTAACTGTATACATGAACAGATCAAAAGGATAGAGATAGCATACTTTATGGTCTATGCTTCAATGAACACAGTGTATATTATTATCAAAGAGGCGAGCTTTGACCCCACCTTTCAGAGCCAACCTAGACTGAAAGGTGTAACATTCCAGCATGAAAACACAAAATATTCTCAATGAAATTGTATATATTCACGTAGGGATCAGACACACGTCCATAACTCACACGATGGCGGCGACAAAGGATAGGGAGAAGGAAAGGCCATTCTCGAGTTTTGAAAAAAGAAGGAGATCTTTACACTTCTGGGTTCACTGGGGTAGGCACTCGATCCCAAAACATAACCCCAAATACAGCACTCAGCCAGGACAAGCCAGCTAAAAATCAACGAACTTGCGAAATACCAGAAAACAAAAACAAGTAAGACAGCACACACGTCGCTAGGTAAATGCAAGAGGGAGTCAAGAGTCGAGCATGCCAGCGTCTCTTAGCAATAATATAACTAAAAAATAACGTAAATGGAAAGCAGATTTCAAAAATTAATCAAAACAAAGTAATTTGTGTTTTCGTTCCAGACTTCATTGGTTTTCGGATAATCCTGAAAATGAGTCCTGAAACTCGAAAACACAACATTTAAAGGTTTGTGGCTCTACCTTTTCTAAACGACCAAGTTGGTTGAGCCAGTGGTCTTTGTTTTAAAGTGGGGGTGAATTGAAAACTGGGCGAATAGGCGAGGAGGGGAGTTTGCCAGAGTAGATACAGGAGTCCAGTTGTCCTTAAAAAAACCCAACAACCCAGAAGCTAAAAAAACCGATATCCCTTGGGCAGTTTTGAACGTAGGATGGACCGCAGACTGGTTTGCCTCGTTCATAAATTGTCTCGCTCTACTAGTCAGCATGTTTGTAATTTTGGAGACAAGAAGTTCTGGTTCCTTACCAGTGTACGTGGTTGTTGAGATAGAACCTGGGAAGTATGACAAGTACAAATTCTGACGACATTCGGATCTGAACCTCTAGCTTCTAAAATCTTAGACAGCAGCATTTATTTGTTACGCCTTGTGCTATGATGGCTGGCCCTTGGACTCCTAGCATTACACTGAATTGAGCTCTTAGATAACCTTTTGTGAGGATTTAACCTTAATATTATCATGAACTCTATGCCCCCCCCCCCAACCGAGGGATTCATCAGTCACCCATTAGGTTTCAGCCTTGACTAGGATAAAGCGCTCCCGGTGTTCTTGAAATATTTGGGTTTAACACGGGTTTATTTTTCATAATGGCCCATGCTCTCGGCACTGAGCTTTACGAGATGCATGTCAAATCTGAAGTTTCACTTCTTAAAAAGAAAAACCTTATGGTGCTGGAAAGGAGTAAAATCTTGACTGTGCTACACCATACCACAGACCTCGAAAGATCTTGTCAGTTTGTTAATGTTTGAGCGCGTGCAATGCGCTGCTTGCACTGAATCCAACTTGGGAAGCCCAGAATGTTTATAAGTGCTCTAAGATCTGCTGGGGTAATAATAGTTGTAAAACGCTTAGAGCACGCCATAGAGCGTAAATATGAGCTGTTAAGACGCAGTTATGTTAATACCAAATTATAACAAAATATATCAAATATTATGCTACTTCTGACTTACAGACTTAAGTCCACAATAACATAAGTTATTTCAGGAACAGTAAATAATCTACTGACAAAGACAGCACACATATTTTATGGATATCAAAAGACGCAACGACTGAGAAAGTTACACATTAAACGAACAGCAAATAATGTAGACTACTGACTGAGACACTACATGTATACTGCTGCATGAATATCGATGAGACGTATAGACTGATAAAGGCACACTTTTCTCGTACATCAAATGAATGTCGCCATGACTGCACAAGCGACTAATCACAACACAGAGACTACTACCACACAACCTATGAACATGTCACAGCACACGAGTCAAAGAGTTGACCATTTTCAAACAAAGTCAGAACAAAGAAGAGAGCTGACGGTCAGATTCAACAGAAGCGAAGCAGTCCATCTAGATCTACTTCTGTCTACCGCTGCGCTGACATAGCCTACGACAATATCCATCGATATAATATCAATGTATGCACACATTCAGAACATCTATACAGTGAAGGAGGGATCAAAACATACGTGGGGGGAAGAAGGGAAAAGAAATCGCACTCAAACTTTGTGACAAAACAAGGGAGATGATTACATCTGGGTACAAACAGAGCCATCAAGGGGGAATCATTCACATGTGATCTCAAGGAGTGTACACCAAGATTCGGCAGATCTAGAGAGACGGAAAGGGTTACCTCCGCGAAGTATACATTGTGTTGGTCAAGAGGGTTTTCCTCCTTCGCCTCCTGAGATAAATTTAGACTCGGCTTAAGAACTCGAATGTTTTCAATACCACATATAATATGAAAGAAGAATAAAGCCACGCGTGAAATCTTTTAAAAAGCAGGATGGATGAAATTCCGGAAAAGATGTGAAACCTAGCCTTAATTTCTATTACTGAAAAAGAATTTGTAGAAGCATGGTGATACAACTTATTAGTGACAGTCTGCTATATCTAGTACCTTCTTTGCTATTGTTGGGGCAAATGTTCTCTCTAGAAATGGAACAATG